TTTCGATAAGAAATATACTTGCATTATCAAACAATCTGTTTACTGATAAATATACCTAAATAAAGTAATAGAACTATTATTAAACTAAATTTAGTTATATTTCAAAGTACTTAATTTTTTGGGTACTAAAAATACTCAGATACTAAGATCTGATTGGTTAGATTTCAAACTACTTAGTTTTCAACGATACTCAGATTACAAATTATTTTGAACTTAATAAATTTAAAAATTTATCTTTGTTTAATTTTAAATTATATAACTATGTAAAAATTATAGTTTTATTTTATTTATTATTATTATATTTATTGTACCAACAATCTGAATAGTAATGATTATATTTGTTACAGATATTACAATATCTTGTTTTTTGTTTAAATCGACAATTTATAATATCATGATTATTTTTTTTACATATTTTACAGTAAGTTATATTGTCCTAATTCCAACTTTTAAAACTACAAGTATATTGTTTAACGTATTTTTTACACCAAAAACAATTTAAGTTCCATTCTTTTTCATTTATATTTGGAGGACAAATAGGACAATCATATTTATTGCAATTACCTAAAAAAAAAATATTAAAATATTTTTTTTTATTGTTAAACACAACAAAATAATAATTACTTACAGATCATTTTGTATTTAATTTTAATTTTGAATCTTATTTCTTATCTACTTGAATTTTATATAAAAAGTTTATCAATAAAATATCTCATATAAACAAATATTGAATAAATATATTTATCAGATAAATATTTAGCCTATCTTTGTTTATATCAAAATTTATTGATGATTTACTAATTTGTAAATCAGCTCACGTACAAATTTAGAAACTCATTGATAGAATGATATACAGATCTGATAGTTACAGAACTCAGCCATACATATAACTTGCATAAAATTTTATACTATATACTCATCAATTTCTAATTTTTATGATTTTTTATCTCTTTTCGCTTTGATGATTACACATTTTTTTGTTCACGTACATGATATGTAATTTCCAAAGTTTAAACCAAGCTGTAGCAAACCTTAGGAGAGAAGCTGACTTTTGTCAGTGAGGTACATAATAACCTAAGTCTAAACTATGCTAAAGCATTTTCTTTGGTGATATCATCGTGAACGAGAACATAGTATAGAAGCAGAATTGATCAAAAAAAAAAAACTTTGCTTCAGAAGGTCTTAAAGATTTTGGCCTTAACAGAAATCTGTTAAACGAAAAATCTGTTTCCTTTATGGAGTTAGTATTTTGACAAGTAATTCTTTTCAGATTGAGTGAAAGTCATTGAATTTTCTGATGCCCACAACAAAAGAAAAGAATTTCAAATAAGATGTTCAGTCTGCAACTGAACAGACTTCTGAGATATCGAGCCTGGTTACCTGTTAACTAAGGGATCTCTGGGTTATCACTTGTTCTTGAGTTGGTTGATATTGCTCAAGTTCTGAATCTAAATATCAAACAAATTCTATAAAAAACTTTATAGGTATTACTTTGCATAGGAATTAATTCTGAATCTCTTTAAGAGTGAGGATTAATTTCATACGGCTTAGGAGCTACGAAAGTATATCTCCCTCATAGAAAGTTTTATTAAATATTTTTTGGTCTCAAAGATATATTACCTCTACGTGGTGAGACTAGAAACTTTACAGATTTTATAATTTGTAAAGGCTAAATATATATCGATCTTTATTTAATAAAATACATATAAAATTTTTATAAAGCCAAATATATTATTTAATAAAAAAAATATAAATTACAAATTTAAACAGGTTTTCCATTCTTATTTTCTGTAATCAGATCATGTTTTTCTTTGAATTCAATCACTTTATGTTTTGTTTTAAAATATTTTTGTTTATGTTTACTATTTTCTTGCCAATTAAATACCCATAATTTATGGAATTTAATATAGCTAATACCTCTAAAACCACTAGTATTTCTTTTAGATAATTTACAATTTAGTTGATTTTCTCTTGGTGTTGTGCTTCTGAGATTACATTCTCTGTTATCAAGTCCATTTCTGTTGATATGATCAATCATCTTCCATTCAGGATGAAGCAATCGATGAAATTGTAAATTTTTATATTTATTTTCTTTATTATGTGTCCAAATATAATATGTGTAATCATTTTTATTTCTATGAGAACTCCATGTATAATTTTTGATATGTTCAAAGTGTTTTAAGTCTGTAAGAAATGTGATTTCTCTTGTTTGAGTTGAAACTTCAAGAAATAAAATTGCATTGATCTCGACAAGTCGATATTCATTCAGTTTAAGCTTTGGCTTGTCAGGATTTACAACTTTGTTCCAGTAAGAAAGAACTTCAAATGTATTAAATTTTTTCTTCTAGTATGAATTATTTGTTTTTTGTTCAAGAGACATTTTAATAATTTTATTTTTTAAAAGAAATAAAGTTTATTTATATGTTTTTAAATTTATAAAAAAATATAAATAGAAAGAAATTATTTATTTTATTTATTATAAAAATGTCTGAAGAGAATATTAGAAAATTACAAGAACAATTAAATGTAATAAGAGATTTAGAACAAAGACGATCAGAATTAAATCAAGAAATAATAATTAGAAATGAACATATTAATAATCAAAATTTAACTATTAAACAATATGAACAAAAAACATTAGATCAAGTATCAGAAATAGTTGATAAAAGATTTAATGATAATGAAAAACAGCATATTTTAAGTAGAACAAATAGAGATTTTATTGAAGGTAAAAATGATAACAGTAAACAAAAAGAAAAACGTTATATAAAATTTATTCAAGATATGATTTTACATTTCATGCCTGATGATGAAAGAAGAC